GGCAGTTTGTGCACAGAGGAGCATGAAGTGTTTACGTAGTGATATCATTAATAAAACGAAGTGCCAGGATACGTTTATAGCGTACAGAATCAAAATACATTTTTTATACTTCGGTGCATAATTATTTGCGCCGGAGAGACTGGCAGGACGTGCGCATAATAAATTCATTGTTATGTTCGCATTTACAGTTAAATCGCTCGCTTAGAACGTGTTCGGGTCTTGTTTCATTGCACCCCAATTGAGTATATCATTATTATTATTATATTATTGTTATTAACATTATTATACACTCGTTTACCTATAGGTAAAGTTGCAGCAGTCGGCGATGGTCTGGTGACTGTGTCGTCGAAAAAAATCAAAAAATTCCTGTTATATATATACGTACCTAGGTATACAGTATAATATTTACCATTTCCATTGTGGTTTTTTCTGCAATGTCTATGTATATATAGTTATGTGAGTGTGTGTGTGTACGTATAATATACAATCTCGTTAACGTCAAGAAACCTTATAGCCTTTCAGTTTTGTGTTTTTTTTTTTCAATTAACATTTTCCACGGTCGACACATCATCGGGACACAAACAACGTAATTTTGCGGTCTTTCCAGTTAAATGTCTATATAATATTGCCGGCTGCATCTGCAGCAGAGCTCGTGCAGCCACCGCCGGTCGATGCAACAGTTATGTATACGTACCCGCCAACGCGACGATTGTATTATATTATTATTATTGTTATGTATTATTGTCAAGGTCTTCACCGCAATTCGACGTTATTCATACCTACCTATGTATATAATACCTTACTTACCGGCAATGTCGCAGCCGTTTGTTGACGAGTGATGACTTATATTGTGATGTCGTTATATTTGTGGGTTTTATCGTCGGCAGGTACAACGGTTATTATATTATATTTCGATTTTTCTCACAGTGCAGTCAACTATAATATGTATATAATATAATAATTGCAAAATTATTATTGCTGCAGGTTAGCTAGTATGGTTTAACGATTTTTTTTCTGGTGATAAAATAGTTGAGTTTTTACAACGTCGAAGTTAGAATTAAGCGCTAACACTTAGATTTGGACGTGTAGTATGTTGATTTGAAGTTTGCCGACTAGGGTAGGTAGGGTTTATTTTTACGATTTATTTTTAACTTGTCCATTTAGCCTGGCGATTTAAACCCTGGGAGGGTTTGGAGGCTGAGTCCACCCCAACTAGAAGTCCCCTCGAGTTTATCAGGCGTATATTCAAAATGTTCAAAGTGCTGCTTTTTGATCAGGTTGAAGGTCATACAGAACTGTATACGGACGTTATAGGAGGGTTGGATATAGTAAGTTTTATACATTTGGGATCTCTTCAATTATTTATTGTGTACATACTACCTATATAATATGTATAATATTCTTTGTACCTGGCGTGACAGCCGACAATAGACTACTATAAGATGGTAGGTATGATGATACATTTTATTTTATTATACGATATACGAATATACAATTTATTATTTTTTTATTTTATTTGTACTTAAAGGGTCACTCGAATGACTTCAAAGTCATACTCATATCACAAATTAATTTGAAAAATCAATAAATCGTACTGCCGTATACCATATAGCTGAATGGTAGTAGTCGTAGTATAAACAGTAGGTATAATATACTGAATGTGTGAATTTGAATAAGTAAAGCTATAATTAATTTTCTAATTGAATGACGTACTAGCAGTGCATGTTTCCACTGTCGAGTAGTATTACAAGAGACATAAATACTTCTAGGGAGTTGAGACTATAAGACATGACGTATAGTATTTGTAAATTTAAATAACTAATATTGTATAATAATATGCTTGACATGCCGTTGTTATATAATTTGTACCTATATTTTATTTCATGAAAAAAAATATGTTCTTATACTATACATATATTTATTAGAAGTACCGCCTATGCCAATTTACTTATCGGCATATTGCGTATTGAGTTGTTGAATTTTTTTTTGGGGGAAATTAATTTTTTTTCAATTATTATTTTCAAATAAACCAGTTAAATTCTATAGGTAGTTGAACATACCTCACTTATTGTCGACAATAATTACATTTCGTACCAAAAAACCGTTATTATAACATGATATAATAATGGTTCTAAGTTCTGAAAAACATTGTCGCATTCTTTTCTTCGTTACCAAAATAAACCTTAAAAAAAATGACGAAAATAATAAACGAATAATCGTTGGTAAATGTTTTATGTTATAATACGATCAGTTACAAAAGGTCTTTTGCACCCCTCGATTTATTAGATATAGGTCTAACTAGAACTATAAAATATTTTAAAATGCAGATTATAATTACTATGACTAGAGTCATAACATATTATTAAATATTAAATCGATATAAATAATAGCAAAGAGCCACGGATCTGTGAGGTATTTACAATTTTAGCACCCCACGTTTTAGAGGTCTAGTATTGCACCTATGCCAGTTACCAGTATAATATAATATTATATACATACTATATAGCCAATAGCCATATCAGATCCGTGATTATATAGTTTGTTTGTCTTTATTTCGGGCTATTGTTTATACCCCTAGTGTTTATAACTTTACTAAATCATGTGAATATCAAATAATATTGCTTTTCAGCAATGAATGTATAGATTTTACAATGATATGTGTGTGTTATTTGTTTATGTCTGTCATCACCTTTTGGGCAGAAAAACGGTAAACTGATACTTTCAGACTTATACTTTTACCACCATACAATGATTAGAACACAACATAATTAACATATTGAGATAAATATATAAGCAAAATGAAGCAAAATAAAATAAAATCGACATTACAAAAATTAGGTTAACTGCAAAAATGGGCTAGTGAGAACTTCATTGTAACTTAAATGTACATCACTATCCTGTATATTCATACCACGAATTGCTATAGTATTTACTATTTATGATCCAGGATATTTTTACCAAAAGTAGCTAGTATAATATGTTTAGCGAAATAACCAATATGAATAGTGAATGAAGAATATTCCGTTAATAAATAATGTGATATGTATATAGATTTTATAAGTTAAAAAGTTTCTAGACACTTTATACTATAATTTAATATAATGATAACTATAATACAATATCAATGAAGTGCAATCGTTTGACATTGACATCTACCAAACTATACAATTTTATTTCACTATATTTACTGGTTATGCAGGAATTATATTATATAATGATATGGAAAAGTTTGGTAACTTTTTATTTAATTTTTATGAAATGATTTATTTATGAGAATTCAATATTCAGTTAAACCTTACCCTTTAGAACATAATATTTATTTTTCATTGTTACACAGATACTGGAAGAAGTAGTTCTTGTTTAAAATCTCCAATTCCAACGAATTGTGCATTGTTCTGATTAGGTATATTATACTAGTACACTACATAATATGTAAAAAAAACTAAAAAATTAGTTATTTAATTGTTACAATTGATTGTAAATACAATATATACAAGGTACGTACAATAGATATTAGTAATATTAACCATTACTATTTATATGCTTAAAATAATTAGATACGAAATATTTTTAAAAGATGAACTAACTTAGAGTTTTCTTCATTATATATATTTTATCTTGGAGAAAATGATTTTTTTAAAAACTTCACAATATTTTTTATTATTGTATCTTTGTATAAGTCATAATCATAAAGTTAGATATAGGTACCTAGTTTTAAGAATATAATATTTAAAAAATAGGTTTATTTGTATGACGAATAGAAAACAGTTCTTCATGTAAATAATATTCAAATATTAACCATCGTACCAATTTCAATTACGTCTGGGTAAGTAGATAATAATAAGTAATATTATAATATATATAATTATTATATATTATAATATATAATATTAGTGTAATTTCAAAGATATACAAAAATATATGTATATAATTAGTAATCACTAATTATTGCACATCGCAATAATTAAATGCATATTGTGATAATATGTAGTCGTCGAGTCTGAAGAAAACAATAGAAACCCTTCAGTGGCCATCACCAGTGACCTGGTCGTGAGTACTTCAGTATACTAGCTCCGATTCAAGCTCCATATATTATATAATATATGCCAGTGGCGCCCAAGATATATTTTTCAGGTGTAGCAAGAAAAAATTTTACTCACCCACCCACCCTCTCAAAACTCAAAATTATATTATTTAATACATTTTATCATATTTGTATTGATAATATTAGTAAATATTAAGGTATCAACCAATATAATCTGCGATTAATTATGAACATATTTCAAATTTATTATTTTTTGTTATTATACCCATCCACCCCTTATTTTCAAGGTGTAGCGACCGCTACACTTAGAAATAGGGTTGGGCGCCACTGATATATGCTAGGGGTGTCAACTTTAGAACAATAATTTCGGAGAAAAAAATACGAAATATTTTAGAGTCTGAGAGGAGCGACGAATGTATTGATTTTCCATTTTTTTTTTTGTGTCTGTCATCATGTTTTAGGACAGTAAAAGTGGTTTGATATTCTTCAACAGTATCTTTTCTGATAGCAAAGTGAATCTAGTTGGTACTTTGGGGAGTCAAAAGCATTATAAGCATTTTAAGTTCGAATTTTGACAAAATTTATCAAATTTAAAATTTAATAATTATTTTGTAGTTAAAAATGTATAAAATGTTCAACTTTTATGTCTAAGAATTAAAAATTTAAAACGAGGTTCCACTTAAATAGGCTATAATATAAAAATTACTTAATTCTTAATAATATCATGAAATAATATACTTAGTAATATCATAGGATGACCGACCCTCTTCGCTCAGAATCATTTTTCTTATACAATGATATTATATCGTTGAATTCAAATTTAACACCATCCATTATAGTGACCCATTTATAAGAGCAGAGCGGCATCCACTTTCCCACCTTTTTATGTCTGTTTTTCTGGTCGTAATACAGAGCTATTATAATATTTATCCGATATGATATTATACAGTCTCAAATGCCGAATTCGTCCGAGAACTGCGTCATGAGCTCGTTGATGGCCAAGTGCACCGGGCTGCACTACATCATCGACCCGGAGGGCCCCACCCTCGGCGGCCACAACGTCTTTCACCTGACGGTAATGGTCATGATCGCGTTCACGGCAGCCTGCCTGTCCCTGTGCCCGTTCGGCCTGTACTACTGGGCGAACGACGTGACACAGTGCATCATCCAACTGATCATAATCGGCAACTTTTCGTTCGCGTGCTTCAAAGGGTTCACCATGGTCCGGCACTCGGACGACATCCGCAGGTGTCTGGAAGTGGCGAGCTTCGATTTCGGGTCCGGCGCCATCATGTCGGATCCCGATTCGGCCCGTTTCTTCCGGACGTGTCGCAACGCATTGTCCGCGTTCACCGGTTGGTTCGCCGCCAGCAGTCATCTCGTGCTGTTGGTGTGGACGCTGCTGCCGTTCGTCGTCGTCGGCAAAAGCGTCGAAATAAAGAACCGCGACGGATCGACCAGCGACTACCACTTCAACCCGTACAACATGTACTTCCTGGTGTCCAGCGACACGTACAACCGATGGCATCTCTTCTTCCACCTGGTCGAATGGGCGTTTGGCATGTGTTTCGTACTGTTCATGGTGCTCTTCGACACGTTCATGGTCACGCTGTGCGTGGCGATAACGTGCCAGATGAGAGGCATCGCCGACGCGTACAGAAAACTGGGACACGACCGTTGCGCGGCCGCATCAAAGGTCTGTTTCGATGGTAAGCGTGGTATAATATCATATATATAGGTACTATATGATTACCGGTTATACCAGCATAATCTTATGATATGTTTGTTGAGGTTTTTCCTGATCGACCGCATATAGGTAGCTGCAGTTACGTCTAAACAATGCGCGGAAAACTAATTAACGGATGTTTAGTTAAACAACTTAAATTAGTGATATTGAGAAAAAGGTTGGAATTTCCGAAACTAAAACTTATGCGGGCTGATTTTATTAACCATGCTCAATGCTCAAACCATTTAGATTCTTATACTTAAATTAAAATGCTTATGCTTAAATTGAAATTCTGATTTTTGGAATGTTTAAGTGTATAGGTAAAACCGATATTTTCGAATATTTAGATTATTTACAAAATTTAAGCAATATCCTGCGATGATACCATCTTTGATTCTTAAATTGATACAATATATTGTGAAAAAGACTACTTTTCTGAACATTTTGACATATTATAATCGAGATTTGAACGAAAAGTTCACGAATTATTCTGCTTTAAATACTACGGATAATAGTCCAATAAAAGGATATTAATTACTTTTGTTTTGAAAATTATTGGATGCAATATATTAATCCATAAGTATTTTTTAATGCTAAAAAATTGTCTAAGTATATTTGCAGACTAGGTAATAAATATTAAATAATAATATGCAAATATCTTATAATTGCATACTTGATTATAATTTATAGCTACCGAGCTTCGTCGGTAGCTTTTCTATCCGTTTACAAAGTATCTATTTGATAGACTATATTATTCTTAGTACCTATTTAAAGTAAAATAACTCAGAAATTACAAAAAATCACTTCGATTACAATAAGTCAACATTTTCTGAAAAATCATCTCCACAGATATCGTGTATCCTGCGCGGATACTGCTTAAATATCGTAAAAAATATGGATTTTAAATTTTTAACTATACATTTAAAATTACAAAATTCAGAATTTTAATACATTTAAACATGAAATCGGGGTGAGCATATTTAAAAAATTCCCCTGTATACAAAAACGATTACTAATTTTTAATTGATTTTATTATTATTTATTCTCATATTTCAATTATACCAATATAAAAAATATGAATGTTTATTTTTGGATTACCAGAATACTGTATGTTTTGCCACAGGTGGAATTGAATCAAATAGTTCAAATTACGAATATTTAAGGGATTTGAAATTGATCATCAAGCATCATCAAGCAGTGTTGGGGTAATATGATTTACATATAAATATAAATTATATAGCGTTATGTGGGTATTCCGATTTAAAATTTAAGTGAATTTAATTATTTAGGTATTAGATTTAATACACACTATAGCATTTGCCCATAGGTATAAGATATTATTCATATAGACATATTAATTACCGCTATTTAATTTCTATGAATAATTAGTTGTTAATTTTACTCACAGGCATAAAGATGAAGTGTGTTCTACATATTGTAGATACTTTCTTACGATCTATTTTTTAATTAAAATAAACTGCTGGTTGACTAATTTTAAAATAATTTGTGTCTATTATAATATTATTGTCTTATTATTTATTAATATAGGAAAATGAACGATTTTTATAAAATCGTTGGCCCAGTTATACTTCCTCAACTAATCGTGGCTTCATTTACAATCATATTTGTTTCATTTATTATCACAAGGGTAATTTTATTATAATATTTAATAAATTATAGTCCTTATACTATAGGAATTAGGTATCTATAGTTTATATCTTTATCACACTATAAGTACCTTTTTTTTAGAATTATTTTAATGGCATGTTACTAACATCAACGCAATCGCTAAAAATGTGCAGTTTTCCTATATTTTTCTTTCAAATATATTATACTTGTCTCGCATTTGGAAATCTCAACCATCAGGTAATTTGTTTACTCTTGACTATATTAGTACAAATTTTTAATACAACAAGTAAAATTATTATTATAATTATCTCTATAAAAAATCTGAACCTGCTCCAATTTATGAACATATTGGTATAATACTTATCTTATAAAAGTTTTGTTTTTATTTTTTTATTAGAAATATTTACAATGTATAGATTAATACAATATAAGTGTATACAATATTAGTCAAAGCACAAATGTAAAGTAATATTACAATGACATAACGTCACATGATCAGACAAAATATATATTGATATTTTGGAGCAGGGAAAATATGTATCTACGACTATATATTATAGTTATAATAAGAATTGTTTTTTTATATATTATATGATAATTTTTAATTATTATTTTATAGTATATCTTCTTCTTCTTCTGGTTATTAGGCCGCTGAGGACCATCCCATTTCATACCTAGCCTCTACCCTTCTCTATTCTCTATACGCTTTTATTTAAAATCCTACCCCACCAAGTAATTTCACGTCTTTCTTAACCAAATGGAAAATCCTTCCATCTTGTTTTGGGTCTTTCTAACGGTCTTTTTCCGAACGGGTTTTGTTCTATTACTCAATTACTGCTTTTATCAGTTAGTTTTTGATTATCCAAGCATGTCCCGCCCATTGTAGTATATTCTTTCTTATCAGTTATCACATCCTACATATTTTTGTTCTGGAATAAAGTCTCTAGCTCAGAATTTTTCCTCCTTCACCATTCTCCTCTGATACAATCCCTAACTGGTCCGAAGATTTTCCGCAAAATTTCCCTTACAAATTTTCTCAGTGGCCATGTTTCCGTTCCATACATTTTCTATTTTATCCATATATTTTTTTGATAGTTATAATTTAATTTAATAGTTTCTGGATCGTTTTCTTTTTAGATGAAGGGTAGTATATATAAGATAAAGAGTGGATAGATTTTAAATCAGTGGATTTGAATAAAGATGTAGTTTTGTATGGAATAATTTGTTATGACGTTTAGATGCTTGCTCAGAAATGGTCATTATATTCAGACCTTTGTGGACGCCGGACGGTTAGCTTACTAAAATACTATATGAGGCATATTGGTTATTTTTCAGAGGGATATGGATTGAAAGCATAGTGTTATAATTATCTTAGAGTTTTTTTAAGTACCTACCCCTAATTGAAATGAATGGGAGGATAATTAATTTATATAATATATATTAATAGTTTTTTAATAATTTAAGTTTGAACAGGGAACGTAGCTTAAAAATACTTGCATAATTTAATATTATATTTTTTATCTGTTCATTAAAAGTTATCTTAGTGTTTTTCTCATGTATATATTTTTTATCTAGAAAAACGTCATGAACTTTGCACTATACTCTAGTGACTGGACACAGATGGAAATTAAATTTAAAAAGTTACTTTTGTTAGCAATGAAAATGCATGATGCCAACAAATTGGACATGAAATTAACTGCTGAATTAATTATCAACTTAGAATTATTTACTAGAGTAAGTAAAACTTAATAATAATATAATTAATATTAGGTAGGTAGTTAATAATTTTAAATTATGTATACTTGTTAACTATTATATAAAATAGATAAGCGATGATAAGAGATTATTTAAATATCTTACAAACTCTTATGCGGTTGTGAGCGATCGAACAAGTTGACTCCGTAAAATAATTACAATATAATATAGGTAACATAATCTTGACATTTTTAATATATACATATTTTTAAATAACCAACATATTTTATTGTATGCTATTTGCTATTATAATATCAACATTTTAGTATCCAATCCTTAATTTTTACAAAAACTCGGTTTATCGAATTCAACAACAATTTCTTACTACTTATTGTGTGTAGTGTGTATATACTTATTTTATGTTAAATAATAATAATAATAATAATAATATACTCTTTTTCCAGGTCATCAATATGTGTTATTCAATTTTTTCGGTCTTAGTCAATTCTCAGTTGAAGATAGCAGATAAACAATAAATTTGTTGTTGTCGTTCAATAAGCATCGTTAATATAGTAAAAAAATAGGTAAGTGCCAAGATTAAAAAATAGCTTAACCTAAATTCAAACAACAGTTAAAAATAACAATAATACAGATAATTTATGAAAATTCATTGCAACATTTGGAAAATACGATTTTTTTTTATACCTATTTAGTTGCACAACTGGGAACAAGAAAAGAACATACATAATATGGCAGTTCAAGTTGAATGTTGGAACGTGTAAATCAATTTTTACTCTAATAAGCTATAGGGTCGTAGACTTGTAAGGAATACAATAGAAAGCAGACGATTTTGACCAATAATGTTTTATATTTTTATGTGTACGAATAGTGTTGTATAAATATAAACAATTTAGCATATTCGAAATAAATGTTAATACTGTGGTCTAACTCATAGAGTAATATTACTCTATGTCTAAAACACAGTGTGGCCAATGTTTAGAATAACCATTAATATTGTTTAGATGATTATCGACATCACCCTTGACCACGGTTGAAGATATAGGTTTATACGGAGGTTTATATATCTTAAATCGTGCCCTTGACCCATCACATTTTCAGTGTTACTCATCGTTTTTCCAGTATTGGAAGTACATTATAGTCAGTTTTCGGATTAGATAAGTATTTTTTTATCTAGATAAAGATAAAGATAATGCAACTCAAATGTTTCTAGATAGGTATAAAACTATAAAAGATAACTTAACTCATATTTATCTAGATAAAGATAAAGATAAATACATTTTTATCTAGATAAAAAAAAGATACAATTACTTTTTAAATGGTTTTAAATGTTGGTATATTTTGATTGGGCCCTAGGAACATAATAATAATAATGATATAAATAAAAATAATTTCATTATTTATAAACCATAAACTTTGTTTGAGAATCTGTATAAATATTTAAAAATTGTGTACAATTTCTCGATTTTCGTCAATAAAAAATGTATCTAGATGAATTTATTTAGCTTAGTAAAAAAAATTATCTAAGCTGAACGTTTAGATACCTTGTAACTTTTTATCAAGATAAAATAAAAAATGAACAAATAATTATCTAGATAAGTCCGAACACTGATTATAGTACGGTCGTCTTCGTCTAGTACCTAGGTCGGGGTAGGTATAATATTTATCAAGTCGCAGGTTAGTGCCTGAAGCCAGGGCCGGATTATGGTCATAATTTAAGGGGGGGGCTATTACTTTTATTGAGGCCCTTTCACCTAAAAATATTTTCTTTTTTCTTCAGATTTAGTAATAAATATAAATTAAACTAGTATAGCATTACTTTTAAATAACATTTTATTCTTATATTATATTATACATTTTTTTGGCATATGCAATAAAAAAAAATATACATATATTTTTAATCTTATATAATATGTTTTAAAAACCTTTTTCCTCGATTTTTCCTGAGCAAATATTCTTATAATATTTTAAAATGAAATATTCATAGTCAACTCACACTCTATAGAAAGAATTGATAGTTAGTCAGTCTTGATTCACCCATCATACAACGATATTTATTTTTAATTATTGTTAGTGCAGAAAAAGGTCGTTCACATTCACAGTTGGTAATAACTGGTATACTTAAAAAAATTCTGAACGCTACATAAATATGTGGAAAAACGCCTGAAAGATTATCTTTAACAATCATTTGTAACATGTTAACCGGGTTTTTTATTAATTTATTATCTTCCTTGACTTTAACCGTACCAATGAATTGTTTCAATTCGTCGTATAGACCTTCTTCTAAATCACGAGAGTAAACTTTGAATAAATGATTTACCACTATACCTATACTTGGGTCTTGTGTGTCGGTAATGAGTATCCAAGTCCATAGACCATTTTCATATGACATAAATTTATAATTTATAATAATGTTTTGAAAAAAATGAGTTGACACATTGTGGCCCCTCCTAGCAACTCCCTTGATCCAGCGCTGGTACCTATAGGTAGGTACTGTATATGTGTACCTATATTATTATTGTCTGTCGCATTTACTGTGGATAATGTATCTGTTTCTTCACTTCTACATAAATTCCGTCTTACACTCCAAATTGCTTATTAAAATAGAAATCAATATCAACCGTGAAACGAATATACACCGGTAGAGATTAACTCGATTTCAAAATTGTATATTATATTATTATTTATTTATGTACCTACGTTTATAAAACATTGTCATACTATTATTATTATTATTATTATTATTACTTTATCACACTCGCGTCTCTGGGACAATATCATTAATGATATCAATTGATAATACACACATCCATATGATTGAACTATACTCCGATAAACGAATACTCGCATACATTTGATGACATATATTTTGGAAATCGTATCGAAACATTTTGACTGCCGATCCAAGTCGTTTGTGGATTTATTACTTTATTACAGTACACAGGTATATTGTATACATCACTACAACAGTTATGGATCATTATTATTACATAGATACCTGTATATATATATATATAAATTATGATGGATTATTACTTGTTACCATTACTTTTACTGTGACAATGGTGCGATGAAGAAACGTAGGTAGTCAGGTTTATATTACTATCCATAGACAGTTACATATATAATAATATTATTATTATGCCAGTGGTACAATGTAATAGAATTGTTGCCTTTCGTTTTTACTGTGCCAACAAATTAAAGTAATGCAAAGACGGCGAGAGTATAATATTTCTAATAGCGCGTATACTATAGCTACAGAATAATAAAAATAATAATAATAATAATAATAATAATAAAAAACATATTAATATTTAATGCTGCTGTAGTAGATATAATATTATATCTGTAGTTATAAACGTTTGTGAAATTTCGACAGTATAATGAATATCTTTGGATTTTCACATTCAAGTAAAACTTAATAATATCGATCTTCGATTGCAACTCTCGAAAATTGTACGGGTACCTAAGTGACAAATATCTTCAACTATACAACAACACTGCGATACATAAAATATGTAATTAAATAATAAACTGATGTATTAAAAATATATTAAATATATCTGAAGTCGGATCGAAAAGATAATCATAGCCGTTGATATTATATTATAGCCATATAGGTGCATGATAATATGCAATTTTTACCGATGCGTTCTGATATTTTTTGATATCACGGATACAGAACATACGACAAGATCGAAATTACGTTAAACCGAAGAGAAAACTATACAACACAGGACTGAGCTAGTGCCAAGGTCCATAGTGAAATTGCAGGTTAAATTCAAACATTGTACGCATATTGCTTTATGCCTTTATGTATATATTATATTAAATAACCATACCCCGTGGCTCGTACGTACTTTTGATGTCATACCTTATAAGTTTTTGTTTGTCGATAGTCTATAATATGAAGTATGAAAATTGGAATTTAAATTGTATACTTGCTGATAAATGATATAATCATCAATGCTTAAAAGTTATGTTTACATACATTAAGACATTAAGTCTACTTTTTAGAAATTGATTTGAATTTATTGTTGTACTTACACTAGTTACTATAGTTACTATAGGTTGATTAAAAACGTTTTTGGGGAACCATCGAGGGAATGTTAGATTATCAGGTCTAAATTTTGGATAATTCGTCGTAACATTAATTGTAGATGAAATTTTCAGTTTTTTTTTGTATATATAATATATAAAAATTAATTTTACATAATATTTAATAGATTATTATATAATAAAATAATAAATATTGATAAAACGAAATTGCTCGATGTCTATTTATATTGTTAGTTTTATAACTATAACCACTCGAATCCCTAAAAAATGTCTAGTTAAAGCTATTATATTAGTATAGTTGTAAAATAAACTGCTTATAGTATACTGCCTAGCTATACTAATAATTATTTCAAATACGAGGCTTTAAACCATAATAATATATAATATTATTAATATTATCTTAATGTCACAATAATTATTTATGTTATGATAACAACAATAAACATGCATTATACATATCACGCTTATAATATAGTCACAGTGAGTTGGAGCAACTTACCTTTATGTACAATGCGTATATACATGTATATATAGGTACCTACTAACCTGCCCCATGTGACTTTTCCTTCGTGCGTACACGCTCGTTGCGTATCATATGCAAACATCTTACTACATAAAATAATAATAATAGTAATAATAATATTATAAACAAAATATAATTATAATAATACACGACGACGACGTATAATATTCAAATGTGGTAAACACTGAGTTGTGGTGTGCGTTGACAAAAGCGTTGGCGATCCGTGAAAATTGAAACACTTGTTCCGAGAGCTTAACGACGGAAATCGTTGTTCCCTCGTCTTAAATACGTAGGTATTTATACTCACACACACTACCTTACATTTTTTTTAAAATAATGTTTAGAACACTCGAATAATAACGTCGTTTTAATAGCGTCGCCGAAGAGGGAAAACTCAGTTCTTATATATATATACAGTCATATAGGTAAGCGCGTTTGTGCCGATATATATACTTACGGCCACTTAGGCATATTATTCTATTTATCCGCCTCTATAATCCTCGCGGCCGCGGTTTGTAATATTACAGTTCTGCCGACTTTCTTCTCGTGTATAGGTCATAATAATACCATAAATTATGTACCCACGTAGCCGCACAATAATAGTAATAATACGATGTGCATGTGCGTGTTATTGCTGCTGGTCCGGCGGGTTTTCACCGAAAACGGTCGTCTTCTATTCGTCATCAGTCATCACCATCGGCGTCATTGTCACCACAATGTGTGATGTGATTGAGAGAGAAAAAAAAACAAAAACCTTATATAATATCGATCGGTCTTCTGCTGTGCCCCATGAGATAAAAATATATTTAATAATTATAAGTTATATAACTATATAAGTATTCAAACCATTAAACATAATGGTCGGCCAACCGGTCGCGTGTTGTAGTATATTTAAGCTGTTATTTATAATATATGGGTCAGACTGTTAGAGAGCTG